AAAATCGGCAAAATATTTTTTTACATGTTATAAAAGTGAGAAGAGGCATTTGCAATTGAAAAAAGACAGAAACAAAGAAAAAATTTGGGAACGCCCACGGCGGGATTCGAACCCCCGACAGTGGGACAAAGTTTGGTTCGGTCATATATTTTCAATATATGCACGCATCAAGACACGGAACACATATTTATAATTCTCATTAGACACACTATAAACCCTGTAAATCCTAAAAAAAAATATCGAAAAACAAAAAAGTTGAAAAATGGGACTTTTTGAATTCACTTCCGTTTGCGAAAGGAAGTGCTGACGACGAAAAATAAAGGTCGTTGTTCAGATTGAAGTTCGATGTTCTATTACCTCAGTGAGTTTCACTTTCATATCTTCAGCCATTCTCGAGAAAACTGCTGGACAAATTGCCTTTTAAAAAAAACAAAAATCCCCCAAAATCGCGAACGGAGGTGAATTTCGAAAAAAGGAAAAACACGTCTGGAGATATTCTCATGATGCATCATCCCTGTAAAAATCTTTTAGATCCGTCCACGCACAGCTGAGATTTCGCTCTAACTATGAAAAAAGAAAAATAATAATAATAAAAAACAGACGAATAACAGTAAGGTCTTCCGAAGGAAGTCGGAAGACCTTAATAACTAGAAACGAAATTCGTTGCGAGCAACGAGAGGTCTTCCGTCCGATTCAGAAAAAAACCCCGTAAAATCAAACTGAAAAAGTGATTTTAAAAATCGGACACACGGGGGACCGAACCCGGGTCGCCAACGTGAAAATCCATTGCGGTACCCATTACACCTTTGGGAACCCGCTTCAAATTTAACATTCGAATATCGCGAGATTGCTTATTTTGATTCCAACATACATAACATTTTTTTTTAAAATTCAGTTTGGAATTGTAAAATGACAGCCAGCTTGCTAAACTTTGCTCAAGATGATCACATCGGAATCTGTTACTTGAGTTTTAACAGTAACTTTTAGGTAGATAATCTATTAGTGATGAACAGATGATACTGTTTTCTTTCTTTTTTTCGATATGTATTCAACTTTTTATTCCATGCAACTCCATAAACAGGCATGCCAATGTTATATATTTCTACACTCTGTCACCATTTGTCTACTACTTAAGTCGGGTCACGATACATTATTTCATGCGAAACGTCACAAGTAGTTCTTAACGCTATTCCTTTGAAATATTTGATCTATTTGATGGATTTGATAGCTTCAATGAAAATTAGAAGTGTATGTTCTTATAACCGGAATTTCGAGCGTTAGAAAGGGGTAGCCGACATTACCAAGGTCGACATATCAGAGTTTTTGCAAATAATTTATATAGTAAATAATGCCGGGACCACGGACAGATGTCGACATATCCCAGGTTGTCGACATATCCGATGTCGAGATACCGAAGTTTACCTGTATATTTTAATTATCACATTATACAAATATAATATCGTATACTGCCAAGTAACACTAAAGTGTTTTCCACGAATTTTGTATCCTGTTTTCCCCCAAAGTGGAGATGAGTTACACGTTCATGAAAAGACTGGAATGTTCACTGAAAAAAAAATCACTCGCCCTCCGACGGTCAAGGAATCTGATACTATTTATGTTCAATAACTTGCATTTATTACAAGAATATTTGTACCCGGTATAACCTTTAATAAACAATCTTTTTAAAAAATGTTTTTCTTATTTTTGTCTTTTCTATTCATTTAATATGTCACAAGCCTGCGTGGAAAAATAAACAGAAGTCAAGTAATACTTCAAACATAGTGAATATTAAGTCAGGCAAGTTTCTTGAAAAGCTATTACTTATAACCATGGTTTAGGATAAGTTTTCCCTGGTGCAAAACAAAAGATTGTTGTCATCGTATTTCCACTTGTAGTCATGTTGTATTCTACATTGAGATGCAGACAAAAGCAATTTCAATAGACGTTTGAGGAAAACTCATATTAAAACAATACCCAATGCAACGTAATTGCGATGTAGCAATCTGAAGAATCCTTTACATTTCATAAATCTTTTTGGTAGAAGTTTCATTCATCTAAACGCTCAGCTGACCTTCTAGAACCCGACTTGCATAATGGCGGAGTTCACGGAGACGCCCCGCCATCTTGGACACGCTTCAGATTTTTAAATGCGAATATCTAGTGTGTGGATTGATCAATTCTAAAATAAATTATATATTAGGCCTTTCCAGTAGGGTCTCCATTAACATTAATTATATCAAAGAAAAATATTGAAAAACAAAAAAGTTGAAAAAGTGCACATTTTGAATTCACTTCCTGTAGCGACCGGAAGTACTGACGACACAAACAAAGGCAAAATTGCACATCTATAAGTCATGGTCTATCATCTCTAATAAGTCTCCAGTTAATATCTTTAGCCATTTTCGAGAACACTCGAAGACAAAATTGCATTTTAAAATCAGGAAATTGCCCATAACTTGGCACTGGTACCGAATTTTCCAACAAACAGAATTTTATATAAAATTCATATAATGACCTATAATTCCTGAAATTTTCAATGAAATCCACCGAATAGTTTACGAGAAATCGCCTGCACAAAATTTTGTCTAAAAAAAAAGAATAATAATAATAACTAGAAACGAAACTCGTTGCGAGCAACGAGAGGTCTTCCGTCCGATTCAGAAAAAAACAACGTAAAATCAAACTGAAAAAGTGATTTTAAAAATTGGACACACGGGGGATCAAATCCGGGTCTCCAGCGTGAAAATACATTGCGGTACCCATTACGCCTTTGGGAACCCGCTTCAAATTTAACATTCGAATATCGCAAATTGCTTTTTTTTATTCCAACATATATTACATTTTTTAAAAAATTCAGTTTGGAATTGTAAAATGACAGCCAGCTTGCCAAACTTTTGTCAAGATGATCACATCGGAATTTGTTACTTGAATTTTAACAGTGATTTTTAGGATAGATAATCTATTAATGATGAACAGATGATACAGTTTTCTTTCCTTTTTTCGATATGTATTCAACTTTTTATCCCACGCAACTCCATATACAGGCATGCCAATGTTATGTATTTCTGCACTATTGTCACCATTTGTCTACTACTAAGTTGGGTCATGATGCAGTATTTTGTGCCAAACGTCACAAGTAGTTCTTAACGCTATTCCTTTGAGATGTTTGATTTATTTAATGGATGTGATAGCTTCAATGAAAATTAGAAATGTATGTTCTTATAACCAGAATTTCGAGTGTTAGAAAGTACGAGAATATTTATCACATTATACAAATACAATTTCGTATACGGCCAAGTAACAATAAAGATGTGAATTCGGTAAGATTTTCCACGAATTTTGTATCCTGTTTACCCCCAAAGTGGAGATGAGTTACACGTTCATGAAAAGACTGGAATGTTTCACTGAAAAAAAAAATCGCTCGTCCTCCGACGGTCAAGGAATCTGATACTATTTATGTCAATAACTTGCATTTATTACAAGAATATTTATAAAACCTTTAATAAACAATCTTTTAAAAATGTTTTTTCTTATTTTTGTCTTTTCTATTCATTCAATATGTCACAAGCCTGCATAAAGAAAAATAAACAGAAGTCAAGTCATACTTCAGAAACATAGTGCATGAATATTAAGTCAGGCAAGTTTCTTGAAAAGTATTATAACCATGGTTTAGGATAAGTTTTCCCTGGTGCAAAATAAAAGACTGAAGACATCGTATTTCCACTTGTAGTCATGTTGTATTCTACTTTTAGATGCAGACAAAAGCGATTTCAATAGAAGTTTGAGGAAACCTCATGTTAAAAGTATACTCAATGCAACGTAATTGCGATGTAGCAATCAAAAGAATCCTTTACATTTCATAAATCTTTTTGGTAGAAGCTTCGTTCATCTAAACGCTCAGCTGACCTTCTAGAACCCGACTTGCTTAATGGCGGAGTTTACCGAGACCGCCGCCATCTTGGACACGCTTCAGATTTTTAAATGCGAATATCTAGTGTGTGGATTGATCAATTCTTAGATAAATTATATATTAGGCCTTTCCAGTAGGGTCTTAATTACCATTAATTATATCAAAGAAAAATATTGAAAAACAAAAAAAGTTGAAAAAGTGTACATTTTGAATTCACTTCCTGTAGCGACCGGAAGTACTTACGACGCAAACGAAGTCAAAATTGCACATCTATAACTCATGGTCTATCATCTCTAACAAGTCTCCAGTTAATATCTTTAGCCGTTTTCGAGAACACTCGAAGACAAAATTGCATTTTAAAATCAGGAAATTGCCAATAACTTGGCATTGGTACCGAATTTTCCAACAAACTTAATTTTATATAAAATTCATATAATGACCTATAATTCCTGAAATTTTCATTGAAATCCACCGAATAGTTTACGAGAAATCACCTGCACAAAATTTTGTCTAAAAAAAAAGAATAATAATAATAATAATAAGAAACAGTAGAATCACTATAAGGTCTTCCGTGAAGACGGAAGACCTTAATAATAAGAAACAATAGAATCACTATAAGGTCTTCCGTGAAGACGGAAGACCTTAATAAGAAACAGAGTAAAAACAATATGTTCCCCAACTTCGTTTGGGGAACATAATGAAATACATATTTTAATAAACATACAGTGTCGTTATTTTCTTGATAAAGGGAAATTCGCAAATTACAATTCGGGGAGATAACTCCCATTTGTTTACGATACTAATTGTCGGTAATCGATCGATGATTTAACCGCGGCGGGGACAGGTAGGTGATGAAATTCCCGCGGAGGGAACACGGTTTACCTTTCTCACCTGGCCAAATACCGCGTTGTGATTATACCGCGACGGGGCGGGGGAAATACGGGATCCGCGTTGCCTGTACTGTACTCATTTTGTATAAATTTGTATTACACAGAAGATTTACTTAATAGTATAACACAGGATACTTTATATAACACAGATGACTTACTTTGCATAACACAGGAGAGTTTGTATAATACAGGAGACTTACTTTGTACAACACAGGAGAGTCCGTCTGGCTGGAGGGAATAGCCGTCAACACAGGAACAATTATAATAACCTACAGCGTTTACACAGCCTTGTTGACAGTGACTGGTTCCTTCTGTACACTCATCTATGTCTGGAAAAACAAAAACAATTTTTAAGATAGTCTCATAAAGAACAAATAAACTCATTTTGAACATGTAAATTTACTGTACACAGCTTTTAATGCTTGAATTTACATCATGTTTATTTTGAAATTGTCTATTCAAATTCTTGTAGTTACCTAGACATAATGTCCCTGCTGATCTGTATCCTTGATGACATGAGCAGGAGTAACTTCCCTCTGTGTTTGTACAAATCTGGTCACAGCCATTCACAGAACTGTTGGAGCATTCATCAATATCTGAAATATCAAATCCAATTAAATGTTTTTACAATTTAGTCAAATATAAACTCAAAATTAATTCAGAATCTTTATTAAAGTAGATAATTTTTTTTAAGTGTAATTTTAAAGAAACTAAATGCAGACATGAACGATTCTAGTCCGTCGCATATTTCTCCTCTCCCATTACACATCAAAATGAAGGATAAACGAAAAGTTTTATACCCAAACACTTAAAAGTTTCTGTTATCTGGTATCCCTGGGGACAGTTTTCACACTTGAATGCCCTTCCTGTTGACTGGTGCTCAGCTGCTGGATTGTCTGTACAGTTACTGAGGGGATCACAAGGGGAACCAGCACAACCATCAATATCAATCTCACAGGAGTCACCTAAAATATTCAAGTAAGCCAAGTGCTAACTTTTTTTACAGTGTATTTTTTCTAATACAATATAGTAAAACAACCATGCAGTACATAAAAAAATGTACTCATGCTTAGCAAATAGTATTTAATATAATAAACTGTGTATAGATCCAGTGCTTCAGTATTCCGATTAAATAAAAATTTTCATCACTGACCACAAAAGTTCCGCTCGAAAGTCTCATTTTACTTCCCATTATTTTCTTAGTTGAAGACATTTCTCTTTCCACATCAAAAAAAATAAAATTACTTGGAATTTTTCCAGATATTTCTTAATATCTACCTGTCCATCCCAGATCACAAATACAAGATACAATGAAGAATGAAGAGATACTGGTGCTGGTTGCCAAGGAGTTGTTACAGTTGCCATGGTTACTACAGTTATAACACTGGTACACCTGCTCATACAATACCCTCGACACTCCATTCAAAGAATCAATAGCATACAATCTGAAATAAACATACATATTTTTAAAAACTATTATATATAAAGGTATGTGTGTCTATCATGTTATATAACTTGGGCAACAA